CGAGGAAACAAAAAACACAGCATGAATGATTATTATAGTGATTCTAAAGGATCAGAAGATATGTATGCTGTTTGTAATTAAGGATATGCTTTAAATATACTTAACAGCTTGCTTGGATAATGCTAACTATGAATATACACTATATTCCAAACAAGTAGTCTATATTTTTAGATCATCCTTCAGGAATGAGATGGTACGAGGTAACTAATAATGTTTTGTGACCTTCTTTACCAGTGTTCCATCATTTTGGCACTGAAACTGATTATGGCAAACTTGTCACTTCACCACTTGGGAGTGTGTGCAGAGAGACCAAAGAAGCACCTCTTAAAAGAGCAGCAGAATGATTTAGTTCACTCACACTGTTCTTCAAATTCGTCCCCTTTCCTACAAGCTGATGAGGCAAACCTCTCCTTTGCTAATGTCACACAAGGTACACTGAAAGGCTGTGAAGAGACAGATGTTATAGAACTTCACTTCATATGCAAAAACCTGTTATATCGTTTATTTGCATTCAATTAGAAGTCAGACCCTGATGAATATCTAATGTAGAAAATGGGGAAAAGATTTGCCATCAAGCATATGCTGTGCTCATAGTGGATCTCTAGCCTGCTATCGTGCCTTCCCGTAGTGAGTTGGGTAAGAACTGTCATTTTCACTATGTTATTTACACCCGTGTTTCTGAGTAAGGAGTACCTGATGAGATTACCTAATAAGGTAAAAGTTGCTAGGTTACTGGTTTTAGGATTTCTTTTACTTATGTCATTACACAGAGTTCTACAGAAAGCACAGTTCCTTTTAAACAGCCATTCTGTAGTTGCTGATTTTCCCTTACTGGGAAAGCCTGGCTCTGTTCAAGAGCTTATGTGCTATAGAATTGCTTTCATATTCATTTTCTTTTTCAGTGTAGGTTGTGCCTTGATTTGTGAATTTCACAATTTGCTAGGTAATCTGGAAAGTAATGTAAGGAACTTGGGCATTTTACATGTGTTGTTTTCAGGAAGGAAAAAAATCAAATTATAATATGAAGCAGGAGTGGCAGACGCTTTCAGAACAGACGCTTCTTCCTGTGACCCTTCAGAGCACTCATATGGTGATTTTATAGCATCTAGGGAGAGAGAGAGGTATAGAACCCTAGACATTAAACAGCTGAGCTGGGGAGAACTGATACAAGCCTCTTACCCTCTTAGACCTGGATATGATTAGAAACCTCTTTTGTTACATCTTCTGATCCCTTTCTTCTCTGTGACCATTCCCATCACATATTCTGGGAAACACATGATATTTCTTCCTTTTTCATTTTACTATTTGCTTTGAATGATATTTTGAATTAAACCATCCTCTCCAGTATCCAAGCTAACATACTGACATGAAAGGGAAATCTTAATTGGTACTTTCAGTTGCTTCACAACTTAAAGTAAGTTCCACAACAGGTGGGTCTGTATTACTTGCACATGCCTCAAGGTCTTTGTCTTGATACTATAATAGTGATAAATACAAAGACTGCAGAGAAAAGAAAAAAAAAAAAAACTCAACTAGCTGAAAATAAAAGTCTGCCTAATGCTGGTGTTTTCCAAGGGAATCTCAGGCATTTAAGAAAATGCAGAGAAGTGGCTTCCGCTTTTTTTTTGGTCAACAAGATTAAGTGCCTCATCTTAAATCTGCCATGGCTTCCTGTGGAGGTAGCAGGGATTTCAGATAATTGCATCAGGTATTTGGGACCACTGCTCCAGCACTGAGCTTGCTTCTGCTGGACACTTTCTCTAGACCCTGTACAGCGCAGGCTGGAAGCCAGAATGAATCAGTCTGTTGGCAGCAGCAGCCAACTTCCAGATGAAATCATTCCTGGCCCCCCTTGGCCTATCTCCTAGTATGTCAAAAGCTGTGAAAATACACAGTGAACACTTTGAGGACATGTTGGACTTGTCTCTAGTTATTTTGGGTTCTGCCATATGCTAGGGAAGGACTTCTGGCAGGAATCTGCTAAGTGGCTCACTAAAACAGAATTGCCTGTGCGCTGCTACTCAGTTGGTCTTTGAGGTATGCTTTTGACAGACAATTTGTATGGCTGTTTGAAGACTTTGAGGGAGTGAAAGGGAATATTTTTTTCCTGATTGCTTTCAAAACTCCTAGTAACTTAATGGGGAAAAGGGCACAAAACATCCCACTGAAGGAAGTTAGACAGTGAATGCGGATAAAGAGACAAAGAGAACTGCTACTTATGAACAGCAATGCCAGCACTACTTGTAAGAGCCTAGCATAGTGTGGTGAATACAGCGACATCCATGGTGGGATCTGAGTCACAGCAGGACTACCTTGAAGGGCTCTCACTCCACCAATTCCTAGAATACAAAACACATACGAGTGTTTATCCCATGTTCTAATTATTTATTAGGTCTGGATGTTGAAATTGGGATAAATACATGCAAAAATTAGTGATTCCACAATACACAATCCTGCAAGAGAGAATTCAGCCAATAGAGCCATCCCTTCTGTCACTCGAGATCATTTTTTCCCCTTTGGTGCGCTGTGATCGTGGATCCATGGCTGGTGGTCAGACAGCCACCAGATGGAGCCAGCCGGGCAGTAAACGTGGGCAGGAGGAACTGCTGTGGGTCTTCTTGCATCGCTAAGACTGAAAATAGGGCCTCTATAAACATAGTTATTACACCAAAACTCACAGGATGTTTGGTAGACTGTGTGATGTGCTGATTCATGTGTGGAGGCTGATGCTCGGTAAGGAAAACAGGTACTGATTAGTAACTACATGCAGGAAGAAATCTGGATCCAAGTGATTACAATGGCCAACTCCAATTTCAACAGGCAAAAATTCTTGGAGAGTGTAGTGTGTCTTAGAGCAGCACTTGTAGCCTTAGAGGATACATCTGTCATAGTTCTCCCACATTTTAAGTATAGTAACTTTTAGGAAAAATGTAGGCTCATAGGCTAGATGATGCAGCCCTAATAAATTACTAGTGTTTATCCTTAACTGGAGTTCTGAGTTAATTATTCAGTTCAGGACGGATTGATAAAAATGCCCTTTTTCATATTCTGCATGCTTCATTGCTCTTCATTTTGTTCTTTGGAAAGCTGCTTACAGCTGCTATTTTGGGGTGTTACTTTTTAAAATGTATGTGGCAGCTTGGTTCTTTTCATTTTAGGAATTACATTTGCTTTTACATCCAAATCATAAAAATCAAGAGTACCGATAGACCTGTAACATTTTGAGTTGTTAAACAGAGAGTTATTTTATGTGATCATATAAAGTACAGGGAGGTTAAAAAGTCCCCAGTGCAACAACAGGAAAGAGGCAAAAATTGCAAGTTATGTTTTCTTTTCCTCATTCTGAATTTTCATCTTCTCAACGAGGAACTGGTGGAGTGGTTGAGGGGGAATGGTTTACTTTAAATCAGAGATGAAATCATAATAAAGACTTAGTTGACAGGGAAACAAAAGCCTCACAATAATCCATCTTTGGAAAACAACAGCTTTTTTAACATTAGGCAGCAACTTTTTAAAGACTGTGCTGGCGTTAAGAAACAGTGTGATATTTCTAGAGCCATATGTGACACAGCTGTTTAGCACTGCTTCAGCTCATCACTTGTTTCATTACATATGGTGCTGTATCAGACTAGCATGCTGCACTTTACTGAACCAATGACTGAAATAAACATAGATTAAAGGGATGCAGAGTTGCTCTTAGATGCAGCTGGCTGGACCAGTCCTAACAGGTGGACTATTTGATGGGTGACCTGGCTGTGAGATCTTATGCAGAGAGTGGTGGTCAATGGTTCAATGCCCCAGTGCAGATCAGTGACAAGTGGTGTCCCTCAGGGGTCAGAACTCACAGCCCAGAAAGACAATTGTATCCTGGGCTGCATCCAAAACAAGGGCAAGGAGGTGATTCTGCATCTATGCTCTCTGCTGTTGAGACCTCATCTGGAGTGCTGCATCCAGATGTGGAGTCCTCAGGAGGGATGTGGACCTGGTTGAAGTATGACCAGAGGAAGGCCATAAAAATGACCCAAGGGATGGAACACCTCCTTATGAGGACAGGCTGGGAGCTGGGGCTGTTCAGCCTGGAGAAGAGAAGGCTCTGGGGAGACCTGAGAGTGGCCTTTCATTGTCAAAAGGGGGCTGTAAGAAAAAACGGGACGGACTCTTTAGCAGAGTCTGGGACAGGACAAGAGGAAACTGTCTGAAAGAGGAGAGATTTAAATCGGACATGAGGAAGTTATTTACAATAAGAGTGGTGAGGCACTGGCACAGGTTGCCCAGAAAGATGGATGCCCCATCCTTGAAGACACCCAAGGTCAGGCTGGACCAGGCTCTGAGTACCCGATGTCCAATAGGTGTCCCTGTTCTGTGCACGCAGATTGGATTAGCCGGCCTTTAATGGTCCCTTCCATCTGAAACAATCCCGTGATTCTATGATTTAATCGTATTCAGTGGCACAGAGCCTTCCTCTTTTTTTCTAATAGTCCGGCCGGGGCCGGGAGCTGAGAACACCGCAGGAGACGCTGCCATCCTTACAATATCCAGAGGGCCGTTGCTAAGCTCCTGCGCGGTTCCCCCCGGCCGCCGGCTGGGTTCGTCGCAAGGACGCGGAGGAGGAACGATCCCTAATGCGTACCCCGGGCTAAGCATTTCGCCACGGGGAAAGCAGGGCCGAGCCCATTCCCGGCCGCAGCTCCCTTCCTCCCTCCCCGCCTTCCCCTTCCGCGGCCGCGCCGCGCGAGGTCACCCCGAGTTCCGCGCTCCTCCCCCGGCGCCGGCCGCGCCGCAGCCGCTTCCTGCCGGCCCCGCGGCAGCCTGGCCTCGGGCTGCTGGACGGAGGCGCGCGCCGAGCTTGCCGCCGGCTCAGGTAGCAGGCCGCGGCGGGGATAAGCGGGACTGAGGGAGGAGCCGCGGCCGGGAGGGGTGAAGGACGGAAGGGCCGCGCGGGGCCCGCATCGCTCAGCCGGGTGTCGCTGCGTGCCGGCCGCCTCGGGAGGGAGGGCGGTCAGGAACGCCCGGAAGGTGATGGGGGCGGCGCGGGTCAGGGCCCGGCGGGGGGGGCGCTGACGGCGCCGGGAGCCGCGGTGCGGCGGGAGCGGAGCGTGGGCCTGGAGGGGTGGCCGCTGTGCCTGGCTGCAGCCGTGCGGGTGTGTCCGACGGGCCGCTCCTTGCGGGATCGAAAGAAGGATCCGCGCAATTTGTAAATTGAAAGAGAAATTGGGCGGATCCGACTTGTTTTTAAGGCATGAAGTGCGGGTGGCCGGGCTTTCACCGGCTCTTATAAGCTTGGCCAGCTTCTGCATGCTACAGAAACCTGGTGCTTCCTTCAGCTCTGGATTTGTTTGCTCACTAAGCATCATTTCACGTTGAAGCCAAGAAATCCGACAGAGTAACTTGGCCATGAGTTGTGTCAGGCAGGTATTCCTTTAACACAGTGCCTGGTGCATGGGGATGCACAGCAAGCGGGCACACAGCTGTACGTGTAAAGGCAAAGCGTGTGCATTTTCATCATCACATGTCCCCAAAATGGATTACATAGGCATTGAATTCCCGGGAGCTTGAACTGCTCCACCCTCTTGCACGTTGCTCCAAAATGATGGGAGGGCTCTCTGGGCTCTGTCTGGTGGTTGTTGGGTGAAGGCTGGCAGTCATCCTCAGGAAGGCTTGAAGCCTTGCTCACTGTGATCTTGTAACTTCTAGGGGGATTGCATTATGCTGCGACAGCAGCTCTGCCCTCCTTATCTTCACAAGAGTTCCCTAGATTTAGCCCAAAGAGAAGAAGTAAATGTGTTTCAGCACTCAGGCTATTTAGCCTGAGGTCCTGCTAAGGTGGAGCAGGGCATTCACACATTCATTTTCTTCTCATGGAGAGCAAGAACTGTGTTCTGCAGCAGTTGTCCTCCCATTTCTCATGTCAGTGTCATTCTAAATGGAAAGCAGCTCACCTATTGTTAAGCAAACTAAATACAAACACTTATTCTCATTTTTCAACATCACTATTGCCAAGATTAGGATGAGTACATTTTGGTCTTTGTTTTCTTAGTGCTCAAGGAAGAACAGAGCAGCTGTTTTTTAGTGCTTTGAGCTTGAACTGCACTGAATGAGGCAACGGATGCAATGTGTCCCCAACCAGCACGCACTGTTACTGTCATGCACTGCTGTGTCCGAAGCCTGACAGCAACCCAAGCACCTGTGGTACAGTGAAGAACTGCAGTGTTTGCTTTGGGCTGGCATGGAGATGAATGAAGTGAGAGGAGGTGACTGTCTGAAAGATTTCTGAGTGTGTATTTCTGGAGCTGTGCATCTTTCTTGGTGCCTTTCCCAAAGAGCAGGTTTTGTTCAGAGTTAACCATGCTTGGATACCACAAAGACAGAGATGGCTTGGAGTCAGCCATTTTATTTTTATTTCGTTTTCACAGTAGATAATTTTTACTGTGAAATGCTTCACTTTCATTCTGCGGAGAGGAGATGTGTTGTAGGAAGGCTTGCAAATGCCTTGGTTTGAGCTGTGAAGGTATGACATGCGCTGTGCTGTTCTGAGACTGAAAAATCAGACACTCAGCTGCTGGATAGTATCAAAGTTAACAAGTACAACGATAACTCTGTGCCTCCTGTGTATTTGTGAGTATATTTTTAGTCATGTTGTGTGCATTGTTTCATTTTTTCCAGCAACACCTTTCCTTGTTTGTTGTGCAGAATGAAAGGCACTGAAGGTATTTGTGTCACAAACAAGCGCGCTCTTGTTCTGCGCTGAGTCCTTTCCCCTCTCACACTGAACGCTTCATGAGCTCTGCTGTTTGGGCTGAAAGTCTTAATTTCTGTTCATGGCAGTTGCTCTGATCTCAGTGCTCTGAATCAGTGTTTCGTTGGTATTGGGATGACTTTTGCAATGTGAGGGGAGGGTATTATTTTTGTAATCTCTGTGTTCCTGCCATTTAGAATAGTTGCTAAAGTGCAAAGTATCCTTTGGCTGTCGCGCACTCAAAGCCAAAGCTGCATTTTTCATTGCCTGGTAATGTGAAACGCTGTGTTTAATCGGAGCTGCATTTGTCAGAGGTCAGAATTTTTGCAAATAACCTCTCCTACATGGCAATATATGGTTGTCTGAAAAAGTTGAAGTAGTTACCAAAAGGTGTGCTTTTTGTTCCTGGCTCAATAGTATGCATCCATTGGGTGCAAAAATAGGGATACGATCTTTTTCAGGGCAGCCTTCAGTAATTTGCTTTTTGTTTTTGGGGGATTTTTTTGATCATCAAAGCTATTCTGCCATTTCCTGTAGCCTCTTGCCTCTCTCGCTACACTTGCTGTCACCAACTGTACAGAGACAAGTATATTCTTTAATATTTAGTATGCAGTTATTTCAGCTGGGAAAAAAAAATGCCCTGTAAAGTTGTCAGCTCATGCCCTGCTGGATGAGATTTTCCAAGGAAGCAATCCTCCTGCCCTGTCTGTTCTTTCCTACTGTTCCTTTCCCACCTCTGCCTCCTTCTACAAATGAGAGTTGTGTTTCTTGTCTGGTTGAAGTCCCGTCCTACCATTCATAGGAACCCTGTGTTTCTGATTCCGTATCTCTAGAGCCTCCCATAGGTTCCCAATCTCAGCTGCCACCTCCAAGCTTTTTTGAAGTCAGTTTCCTTCCTCCTGGCTCTTCCTGCTCACTGGCTCTCACTGCTCACTGTGGACGACCTTTGCTTTAAGCACCCCAGTCTTCACCATCTGCAGTTGGCGTCAAAGTTTGTTAACATGGAAGAAAATTAGGGAAAGAAGTGAATGTAACAACAAGTAACTAATTTACTGCAAAAACTAGGACAAAGAGAAGATATATAGCAGATATGCAAACTACACTCTACAGGTTATGTTTGGATAAAGTTCTGCTTGATCTTTGTCCTGGAGCCACAGCCAAGGCAGGATAAGGCCAGTAATTGCTTGAGGCAAAGGGAATGTACTCCAGAACTGGATGGAAACTTTCTTACCTTTTTCATTGCTGTAATTTGCCCTTGCTCATTCTTCTGAGTTCATCCAAACAACAGAGCCCTCTGCTCTATTCTATGGTTTCATTTAGATTTGTTGACCATAAACTTTTTGGTTTTCTAGAGAAAAACTAAAGTTAATTTTTTGTTTTTCCATTATTACTGTGCCTGTGTCTTGTTTGTCTTACCAGCTCCACAGCTATAAGCAACAAGATTTTGTCCCCACAGCAAAACCCAACTTAAACATCTTTTTCAGGTCCATAAGCAGCCAAGATGCCCATCCGTGTGGATCAAATGATGCAACTGCTTTGCCATGTTTCTCAGGAGAAGGGAATGACAGCAGCTGTCAAGCACTCTGGTAGAGGAGCACTCCTGGCAGGTGCAACTGCATTTGTTGGGGGTTTGGTTGGAGGTCCACCTGGCATCGCTGTAGGTGAGTGTGTTTGCTTTAGGATGAGACGTGTGGTTAGCTCACTGAGTGAAGAAAGCAGCAGGTCTGCTTAGTGGTGCCATTTTGCATTACATTCTTTCAGAAGAGTGTTTTTAAGAAATGGTGCATTGTAATGGTTCTCACCCCTCTGAGTTCAGAGGGTGATAATCAGCAGCTCAGAGTCCAGTTGGAGACCTGTGACTAGTGGTGCTCTCCAGGGGTTGGTGCTGTGTCCAGTCTTGTTTCATGTCTTCATCAACGACCTTGATGAGGGGATAGTGTCCACCCTCAGCAAGTACTGAAGGCTGAGCAACCTGGGTCTGTTCAGCTCTAAGAAGACTGAGGGGGATCTGATTAATGTTTATAAATATCTTAAGTGTGGGAGTCAAAGAGACACGGCCACCCTCTTTTCAGCAGTCTGTGGGGACAAGACAAGGGGAAATGCCTATAAACTGGAGCATAGGAAGTTGCATGCCAATATGTGTAAGAACTTTACAATGAGGGTGACGGAGCACTGGAACAGGCTGCACAGAGAGGCTGTAAAGTCACCTTCTCTGGAGATATTCAAGACCTGCCTGGACACCTGCCTGTGCAACCTGCTGTAGGGAGCCTGCTTTGGCAGGGGGTTGGACTTGATGATCTCTAGAGGTCCCTTCGAGCCCCTAGAATTCTGTGATTCTGTGATAATTATTGTGTTGGTGTTCCCTTTTAGGATGATGGTGACCTCGGTGACTTAAAACTCCTTTTTCTGTGAACAGGAAACCATGCACAAATTAGAGGCTTAGGTATATACTCTTCGGAGCCTTTTGAACTAGCTTGAACTAGTTGATGAACTTAGTCTCTGTGAATACCTTCTGAAGTTTGGTCTTCATGTGTGTAGGAAGCTGCAACGTGCATCTCTACAGCAGCTGTATGCTGGAGTCATACTGGGGATCTGGAGTAAAAGACTCTATGTTAATGATCTCTGGCAAGGCAGTTAACAGTGTGTTTTCCATAGGGTAAAATTCATTAACTGCAGAGCTTGTCCTAAAGAGACCAGTACCATAAGGAATCTTGTTTGATTTCTGATTTCGAGTTTGAAACTGTTAGCTTTCATTGTGTTGAGTTCCTTTGTTGATGTAAAAAGCTGCAAAAACTCTTCTTGGTACTTGATCGTCATTCACCCAAGTGAAAGAGGATTTGCCTTGTTCATTCAACTCTGCACGGATTTGTAATGAGGAGGTTGGCACTACTGATGAACATCTCTCTAGAATTTTGGGTCTAACAATAGGGAGTAACATCTCTCCTCATTTTCTAGGAGGAGCACTTGGTGGACTGCTTGGTGCCTGGATGTCCAGTGGACAGTTCAAGCCAGTCCCTCAGATTTTAATGGAGTTGCCTCCTGCGGAGCAGCAGAAACTCTTTGATGAAGCCATCGCAATAGTCAGGAACCTAGACTGGACTGATATCGCTCAGCTGACTGCACTTGTCATGGGAAGTGGCCATCTCCAGCAGCAGTTGGCAGGAGTGGTGATAAATTACCTCACTAGAGAGCTAAGTGCAGAGATAAAGTATGGGGAATAAATCTTCCCAGAGTGTGTTTTTAGATTGTAGTGAATTTTACTCTGACAGTTGTGATTCTTCAATGTATCAATTGTTAGTTAGCTTTACTAGTTATAAATGTAGGCAGATCTAAGTATTACCTTGCTTTTCTTTTTTTTTTAACAGAAGTTATTACTGGTTTATTGTATTATCCTGTCACTGCCTTGCTGTGTTATTTGAAGTACTGTATGGTGGGATTGAATTCAAGATCACTGAAGGGAATTCTGGTTCTCTTGCCATATAATGTAGCACTGGGTAAAATTTTCAAAGTCCTTGTATTTTATTTAGGAGATGTAATCCTGTTTGTTGAAGTGCTTTAAACTTCTTCTGTGTATAGCATGAATGCTGAGGTATCAAGGGCACTTTGAAGAATTTTGCCTGGCATCTGAGTATTACAAGGGACAGTTGCAAGAAATTATTTCTACTGTGAACTCACAAACCTCAAGCCTTGCTTGATTTTTTGTCACATTTTTATTGTAATTCTTGGGAATTCATTTCTGTAAGAAGAGAAGCCAATAGCTGTTTGGAGGAGCTTAGAAGAGCAGGTAAAATAGAGTCTAAGGAATTAGCAGTTCCTGATATCCTAGAACTGGAATGTGTGGCAAGGAGACTGGTTAAAAAAGGGGAGTGAGGAAGAATGGCAAGTCTGACATTTTTATATGTTTAGGATAATCATTTTAGCATTCGTTTCTCAACTAATTCTGAACATCTGGTCCTCTGTTTTCATTAAAATATTCCTAAGAAGCATCACAATGGTCTGTGTTTGGCTTTAGAGTGCATGAACTGTTTTAAGCATGGAAGAAGATGTGGAAAAGAAACAAGTTGTGAGAAGTACCTAATTTATGGCAGGAGGTAGGACATAGAGAAGATATATAGCAGGTATGTAAACTACAACCCAATGGATATGTCTGAATTAGGTTCTATGTGGTCTCTGTCCTGGAGCCATACCCAAGGCTGAATAAGGCCAGCAATATTTAAGTCAAAGGGGATATACTGTAGAACTAGATGGAGACTTCCTTACAGTTTTCATTGCTGTAGTTTACCCCTGTGCATTTTCCTGAGTTCATCCAAACTGCAGAGTCCTCTGCTCTATTCTGTGGCTTCACTTACAATTGCCATAAGCATCATCTTTTGCCAGCAAAAAAAATCTGGGAAACTGTTAGCTCATGATTTCCCAGAAATGAAAGAGAAAGTAATTTTTTGTTTATCCACAGGGACTGTGGCAGTGTATTTTAGTCTCACTGACTCCAGAGCTCTAAGCAACAGGGTTTTATTGCTGTTGCAGTAGTCAACTTAAACAACTTTTTCAGGACCTTACCCACCTAAGATGCCCATCCGTGTGGATCAAATGATGCAACTGCTTTGCCGTGTTGCTCAGGAGAAGGGAATGAAAGCTGCTGTGAAGCACTCTGGTAGAGGAGGGATAGTGACTATTACAACTGCCCTTGTTGGGGGTTTGCTTGGAGGTCCACCTGGGCTTGTTGTAGGTAAGTGTGTTTGCTTTAGGCTTGTGAAGTGTGGTTGACTCACTGACTGTAAAAAAAAAAGCAGCAGAAGTCTATTTGCTTGGGATGATTTGAAGTGAAGGGGCAAGTATTGGCAAGATTTCATTCAAGTGAGCCTTAACAAGATGCTGTTTTGCATTTCATCCTTTCAGATGAGTTTTTAACAAGTGGTGCATCGTAATGCCTGTGTAATGCCTTACGATTACTAATGTCAGTGTTCCCTTTCAGAATGACAGTGTCCTTGGTGACTTAAAACTGCTTTTTAAGAGGAAGCGCATGCAGATCAGTGGCTTAGGTATTGACTCCTTGGAGCCCTTCAGACCAGCTGTTAGATGTTCATTTGCTTTAGGTGGGCAGAGTGCTGGTTCCCATCTGCTAAGGCATGCCAGTGCCAGATGTGTGGTACATAACTGAGAGAAAGTCTCAGGCTGAGAGCTTTGCTCCATCACAGTGGTAAGGAGTGGAGATTGGAGGCCTTGAGGCAGTGGCAGGAGTGCAGGACAGTGTTTGCAGACGCACAGGATGGAGAAGAGCAGCAAAATTATGTTTGTTTTTCTGTATTTTAAGGCTACTCCCTATCCCTGTCTTGGTGAACTCCTTAAATGTCTTTCCTCCCTACACTGAATTCTTTCTAAACATTAGAGAGAAGCCAGAGTCCCATAGCAAAGACTTGTATCCTCTGTACCTGTTGAACTAAGCAGTGTTGTATATATAGTTTAAAAGGTGCCCTGTCGCTGAAATCACATGTTGCATCAGTCCTTGAGTGCACATTACTCTTAGGAGCAGTTCCATAAATCTGAAGGGCTTATTGGTACTGGAGTAAATTGCAATTTCTTTGCAGCATTGTAAATCACTGAAAAGCACTGTTCTGTATGGCTGGTAGCCATTAGATATCACACATCAGTGTAGGGCCGTGATCCTAATTTCTTGGCTGTCGCAGTCCTACCCACATAATCTGTATGTGGTCCCTCTGCTCTGCACTTGATGGCCTGGAACCATACTGCCTGGCAGAGAGATTCTTCTCCAAGTCTGGTGGGGTATTAATTTGGTAGGAGAAAGGTTGAATGTGTCTGAATAATCCAAGTTGATGATCTTGGCCTCTATGAGCATCTTCTGAAGTGTGGACATCATGGGTGTAGGCAGGTGCTTCCTGCATCTTTGCTGCAGCAGGAAGCTTGGATCATACCAGGGATCTGAAATAAAAGATTCCGTATTAATGGTAAGGCAGTTGTTAACTATGTTTTCCATGGGATGGGATTCATATAATAGCAGAGCTTGCCTTACAGAGACCAGTACCATAAGGAATGTTGTTTGATTTCTGATTCTGAGTTTGAAACTGTTATCTTTGATTGTGTTGAGTTCCTCTGTTGATGTAGAAAGCTGTAACAGTCCTTGGTTCTCTGATCATCATTTGAGGAGGTGAACAGCATTGAAGAAGCATCTCTTTGGAATTTCAGGTCTTACAATGGGGAATAACATCTCTCTTCATTTTCTAGGAGGAGCGCTTGGTGGACTGCTTGGTGCCTGGATGAGCAGTGAAAAATTCAAGCCAGTCCCTCAGATTTTAATGCAATTGCCTCCTGCCGAGCAGCAGAAGCTCTACATTGAAGCCATTGTGGTACTCAAGAGCTTAGACTGGTCTGATTTTGCTCGACTAACTGCTGTTGTAATGAATAGTCATCTTCTGCAGCTGCAGTTGGCTAAACTACTGGAAAATTACTTCACCAGAGAGCTAAGTGCAGTGATAAAGTATGGAGCATAAAGCTTTTCAGAGCAGATTTATAGGTTGTAGTGAATTTTATTCTGGCAATTGTGATTCTTCAGTGTGTTTATTATTAGCATTAGTATCGTCATTGTAGCTTTTGTTTCTCAACTGATTCTGAATATCCTCTGTCTTCATTAAAATATTCCTTAGAAGCATCACAGTGGTCTCTGTTTTGCTTTACAGTAGATGAGCTGCTGTAAGAACTGGGCACTTAATTTTCCAACCAGTTGTTCAGCATTTATTGCAAGGCACACATGGAAACAAGGTTAAAAATTGAAGAATGAGTAGATGTGCTTTTTTTTTAAAAAAATATTTAGGAACAAGTGATACTGCTCTGATAATTTTAGTTGTGTAATAAAGATCTCTCCATGTTTGGGTGGTGACATTTCTCATAGTTGAGTTTTAAATGCGGAAGTTTCAACTCAAGATTTGCTGTTGTTTAGATTTGACTAATTCAGTTCTGCAGGAATGCTTTGTTGTTAATACATACAGTTTACTTGTCTTCCTGGAGTGCAGGGCAATGACTTGTTTGGAAGTTAGTTTTTTTCAGTGAAATGAAAGCCAGCAGCAAATGGCAGTGTGCACTTCTGATCTTTCTGTAGTTTCATATTACATACCTGAAATCAGTATTTTTTTCAGTTTGACAGATTACACACAGTACAATTCTCTTTTAAGTCCATATACACTCTATAGGTGTTTTAAGGTATTAATTTTTAAACTCATACACATTTTATGATTATTTCACAAACCAAATGGACTCTTCTGGAAGAGGATGCTGCTACTAGCAGCAGATATTTGAGTGAAACAGGAGGAGAGAGACTGTCCCCCTTGGAATCAGCCATTCAAAGATGGGCTTGAAAAAACCTAGCATGTGGCTGTGAAGTAGGTCACAGGAAAGATTCTGGTGTCAGTTAACTTATAATAGCAGTCGTTATTTAAACTGATTGCTAGCAGATTTTAGGGTAGTTGCAGGTATCAGGATTGTGACTCCCATGTTACACATTCACAATTTGAGGACCAAAGGTAGATATTGAATTAATTTATGGTGTTTATGCCAGTGTCACAGCCATCAATTGAACTTAATTAATGACAGTGTCAGTCCTGTGCTGCCGTATGTTACTCTGTTTCTTATTCTTTCAAATACTTTTCATTATGTACTCGGAAAAGAGAAACTACTTTTAATGGCAACCTTTCGGCATTTGCTGCAGTATATAGGAGTAGGAGATACATGTGTGCCAAGGGGAGACTGGTCAGAGTGGTTCAGAGGGCTGTGTGGGCCCATCTAGCTTATGTTAAACACTGCCACTGAGCTCATGAGAAGCTTTATAACTCTGTGTTGCACAGTAGCATGCAATTAGCCAATATAATTTAATGCACCCATGTTCTCAGATAGCTGGTGTAGAAACAGAAGGAAATGGGTTGTTTGTACCACTGTTTGTAAAGTATGATATATGTGCAACTTCTCAAATGGTAAGAAGTGCCTATCTTCAGAGTGGTAGCAATAAGTTTGCTGCAAGGTTTGCAGTTTGGTCTAAAACACAATCTATCACTGCCAGTGACAGAAGAACAGAAACTAAGTTGGCTATTAATTTCAAGTGAGTTTGGGCATACAAGAGGGAGGAAGCAACCACTTGACATTAAGAAGGCTCTGGTAGCTGTCTACTGTAGGGGAATTAGCATGGAACACCATGGTATTGGCTGTCTGTATGTTAATGATATACGGCAGTTCATTCTGTGGAATGCTGCAAAAAAATGGTCATTGTCTTTTGCCTCTGACTACAGTCCTGTGCTACAGTGTCAAGGTGATAACAATTTTTGACTCCTACTATTTATTTTCTTAGTGCTCAAGGAAGAACAGAGCAGCTGTTTTTTAGTGCTTTGAGCTTGAACTGCACTGAATGAGGCAACGGATGCAATGTGTCACCAACCAGCACACACTGTTACTGTCATGCACTGCTGTGTCCGAAGCCTGACAGCAACCCAAGCACCTGTGGTACAATGAAGAACTGCAGTGTTTGCTTTGGGCTGGCACTACTGTAGTGCAGAAGTAACCTTCCATTTTCGCAGTAGATATTTTTAACTTGAAAGTTGTTTTGCTGTTGCTTCATTTTAACTTTGCAGAGAGGAGATGTGTTGTAGGAAGGCTTGCAAATGCCTTGGTTTGAGCTGTGAAGGTATGACATGCGCTGTGCTGTTCTGAGACTGAAAAATCAGACACTCAGCTACTGGATAGTATCAAAGTTAACAAGTACAACGATAACTCTGTGCCTCCTGTGTATTTGTGAGTATATTTTTAGTCATGTTGTGTGCATTGTTTTATTTTTTCTAGCAACACCTTTCCTTGTTTGTTGTGCAGAATGAAAGGCACTGAAGGTATTTGTGTCACAAACAAGCGCGCTCTTGTTCTGTGCTGAGTCCTTTCCCCTCTCACACTGAACGCTTCATGAGCTCTGCTGTTTGGGCTGAAAGTCTTAATTTCTGTTCATGGCAGTTGCTCTGATCTCAGTGCTCTGAATCAGTGTTTCGTTGGTATTGGGATGACTTTTGCAATGTGAGGGGAGGGTATTATTTTTGTAATCTCTGTGTTCCTGCCATTTAGAATAGTTGCTAAAGTGCAAAGTATCCTTTGGCTGTCGCGCACTCAAAGCCAAAGCTGCATTTTTCATTGCCTGGTAATGTGAAACGCTGTGTTTAATCAGAGTTGCATTTGAATTTAGTCATCACTGTCAACAAATAACCTCTCCTAGATGGCAGGATATGCGTGTCTGTAGAACTGGATGGAAACTTCATTATGTTTTTCATTGCTTTAATTTGTCCTTTTTCATTCTCCTGAGTTAGTCTTAACAACAGAGAACCCTTCTGTTCTGTGACTTCATATACAGTTGGAATGAGCATTATCTTTTTGCCTGCAAAAAAAATAAATAAATAATTTATGGGAGACCTTTAGCTCAAGATTTCCCAGAAATGAAAGAGAAAGTAATTATCTGTTTATCTGCCGTGCCTCTGGCAGTGTACTGTGTCAGTCTCGCTGGCTCTTGAGCTGTAAGCAGCAAGATTCCTCTTGCAGCAATCAAACTTACCTTAAACATCTTTTTCAGGTCTTTAAGCAGCCAAGATGCCCATCCGTGTGGATCAAATGATGCAACTGCTTTGCCGTGTTGCTCAGGAGAAGGGAATGACAGCGGCTGTCCAGCACTCTGGTGAAGGAGCACTCCTGGTGGGCATAACTGCGTTTGTTGGCGGTTTGCTTGGAGGTCCGCGTGGCATCGCTGTAGGTAAGTGTGTTTGCTTTAGGATGAGACGTGTGGTTGACTCACTGAGTGAAGAAACCAACAAGTCTACTTAGTGAGTGTGAGTGTATTGGCAAGATTTCATTCAAGTGAGCCTTAACAAGATGCTGTTTTGCATTTCATCCTTTCAGATGAGTTTTTAACAAGTGGTGCATCGTAATGCCTGTGTAATGCCTTACGATTACTAATGTCAGTGTTCCCTTTCAGAATGACAGTGTCCTTGGTGACTTAAAACTGCTTTTTAAGAGGAAGCGCATGCAGATCAGTGGCTTAGGTATTGACTCCTTGGAGCCCTTCAGACCAGCTGTTAGATGTTCATTTGCTTTAGGTGGGCAGAGTGCTGGTTCCCATCTGCTAAGGCATGCCAGTGCCAGATGTGTGGTACATAACTGAGAGAAAGTCTCAGGCTGAGAGCTTTGCTCCATCACAGTGGTAAGGAGTGGAGATGGGAGGCCTTGAGGCAGTGGCAGGAGTGCAGGACAGTGTTTGCAGACGCACAGGATGGAGAAGAGCAGCAAAATTATGTTTGTTTTTCTGTATTTTAAGGCTACTCCCTATCCCTGTCCTGGTGAACTCCTTAAATGTCTTTCCTCCCTACACTGAATTCTTTCTAAACGTTAGAGAGAAGCCAGAGTCCCATAGCAAAGACTTGTATCCTCTGTACCTGTTGAACTAAGCAGTGTTGTATATATAGTTTAAAAGGTGCCCTGTCACTGAAGTCACATTACATCACCCCACTGAAAATAGATATGCCTTGTTCACTCAGCTCTGTGCTGACTTCTAATGAGGAGGTGAACTCTATTGATGAAAGTCTCTCTAGAATTTTGGGTCGAATAGTAGGGAGTAACATCTCTCCTCATTTTCTAGGAGGAGCACTTGGTGGACTGCTTGGTGCCTGGATGACCAGTGGACAGTTCAAGCCAGTCCCTCAGATTTTAATGGAGTTGCCTCCTGCGGAGCAGCAGAAACTCTTCAATGAAGCCGTCGCAATAGTCAGGGACATAGACTGGATTGATGTTTTTCAGCTGACTGTACTTGTAATGGGAAGTGGTGACCTTAAGTTTCTGCTGGCAAAAGCAGTGGAAAGGTTCTTAGTCAGAGAGCTAAATGCACAGATAAAGTATGAAGAATAAACCTTTTTGGGCCTGGTTTCTAGATTATGTTGAATTTTGCTTTGACAACTGTGATTCTCTGATGTAGCAATTATTTGGATTAGGATTGTCATTGTAGCTTTCATTTCTCAGCTGATTCTGAATATTCTGTTTTCATTTTAAAAAAATCCTAAAAAGCATCACAATGGTCTCTGTTTTGTTTTGGAGAAAAGGAATTGATTGAAGAAGTGGGCACTTAGTATCTCAGCCAATTTTTCACTCTTTATTTCAAGGCAATGAGGAAGCTATTTATTAGGTTTGATTACACAGTCCTTCTTGGGTGGAGGCATGTACCTATTTTCAGAATGGTAGCAACATGTTTGTGACAAGGTTTGCACACTGTTTTGAAACTGTTGAGTGCAGCCCTCTTCTATTGTGTTAAGATCACCACAATTTTTGCCTTTTAGGTTTATCAGAGGATTTGGGCATTAAATAACTGTTCAGCAGATTTGATCGTAAAGAACTGCTCAAGAATGCATTAATATTCCTCTGTTACTCTTCTTTGGTACCAATGTGGCTGTCTGCCACTGTATCCCATGGTACTGGAAACAGCTACAGGCAGGGGAGAGTATCTAGTGAAATCCATCCAGTTGCAGTGTCCAGGTTAAGTATGAGATAGAGCCATCACCTAGGAAACAAGGTAAAGCAGTGCCAGCAGTTTTAGGAAGCAACTAGAATTGTGGCTATGGGGAGATGTACAAACTTATATAAATAATCCATCTGTGATGGATTTTATTATTAATTTTGTTCGGTTGTAGATGTGAAGATGTGAAGAATCAAGCTAGATTTTCACTGGCAGGTAGTGTATTTTTAGATATTTTTTTTCCTAACTGTCTGGTTTAAAAATGGAAAGCAAACATGATTATAAATAGGTATGTTAGCATAGAGAGACTATTTTTATTTACTTGCTTTATTATTTAATGGCAACCCAGAATTCCAACATAGATTAGTAATTGAGATCTGCCATCTAGTGGCAAGTAGATTAATTCTTAAATTCAGCCTATCAGGGCTGCCTCTGTGGATAACACAGCTGTGTTTTTCTGTGAAAAGTTGGGGTAAATGAAATTGTATTAGATTACAAATATCAATCCACCTATAACTAGCACTCATGTGCACTCATTTGCATTCCCCTGCAAAGAGGCTTTTTTAAATGATCATTATCATAATTGGGCTGTGACTGCACAAATTTTTGCTGCAGCTGCATGACAGTTTTCACTGTGGGAGAAAATGTGTAGTCAGGAGAAGGAGGACAGTTTGTGTTTTTTTGTTGTGGCAGCGTTCAGGGATTCGCAGTGCAAGGCAAGTGTTTGCTATGAAATCCAAAGAAGTTGCAAAGCAATGTGGAGATGCCAAAGGCTGATCTTGAGTTTACGGCTGGAAATGAGAACCTAGACAGCAATTTCAGTCTGCACACAAGGTAGAGCTATTTTGAACCTCAAACTTGAGGTTCTGCAGGGTATGTGCGTCCCCACACACGAGGGTCTGGTGGCTCTTAGCTCTGATTGTTTAGTTGCCATGTCAGCAATAACCTTTCACTCTGGTACGCAAAGTAACACAGATCAGCATCACGTTGGCTGTTTCCTAAGGACAGGTCCCTGTTCTTCCAGGATTGCACACCTGCAGCTGTGCAGGGCTTTGCTGGTGAAGGATAAGCACAAACCTGAGTCTCCATCTTTCTTTCAAACGCAACTTGTGAGCTGCTGACAGGAAGGAGGGCTGAATATCTGTCTGTATAGGGTTTCTGACCTTCTGGAGGGAAAAATAGTGGCTACATTTCCTCTAGATGCAAGGTCCTTCCCTGCCTGTGCTGTAATTACCTTCTCACTTTGAACAAAAGAGTGATTTGGAGAAGAGCTGTGCTGGTTGACTTAGGGCAGCTTAAGAAAGCTGATTAATCTGCTATGGCAGTAATTTGCTGGATGATTTGATCAGTAATTCAGCTCCCCAGTGAGATGCTTCAAGGTGAGATGGCAGTGACAATACCAAGCTCCTGGTGGAGGGCTGTGAGACATGACAATTACCTACAGAAAAAATGGGGTGTGATAGTATCAGCACTGAGTTATTATTTATTATTATTTGACTATTTCTTACCATGTTTGAAATTTCTCTAGTGGTGTGATACCATCTACCATAGTCTGATTATAGGCCACTGTGCTCTAGCAGAACTGCATTTCCCTTTTACAGTTTACACTCCAGTGCTCCTTCCATATGTGCTTCAGTGCATCATGACATGGGTGAGTTGGAATGGCTGCTTTCTCCTACTCCTGATAACACCCATCTCTCTTAGGGAGGAAAGCTCATGCTCCAGAGGACTCAGGTGTGCTAGGTTAGCTCTTCTTTGGAAGAGACATTCTATTAAATACACGTAATATAAAAAGCTACTGAGTTTGTATTTCAGATAACAGCTATTTGGTGACTAAACATCATGACTGTCTAGGTGATGATGGTTAATATGTCTTTTCTCCTTTTTAGTTGGTGTATAGGAAATCTGTTACGAAACTCAGAGAAAGATCTTGTGAAAGGGAATGGTGGTTGTATTATTCAAAGTCACTAAGCAAATTGATTTTAGACAGTCATACTCTCATGACAAATCTGTTCAAATGATCTGACTGGGATTGCTTGCATTTAACATGAAGGATAAGTCAAATCCTCACTTCATCTCTTGGATTCTTCTTGATTGCCCCAAAATGAATTATTTTTTTAAAATCCCTTGGAATATCTTTGACAGTAATTCACTGTTGTCTTTCTGTAAGCTTTTCTGCAACCCATTAGTCTGAGGGGCTAACAGCAGAAGGAATGGCATGTGTGATTTGCTATAACCTCTGCTATTGTCCTCGTATCAGAATGCAGTGTTTCCTGTGAACAAGATGCTTGTGCTGTGGTCTTATCAGAGAAGGGTCTTCTGTTGGGCTCAGTAGGAACAGCACATTCCTCAACTTGATGAAATGGGATCCCTCATTATCAATGTAGGCTTCTTTTTTGATTATTGTTTTGGTGCTTTCACATACCTATTTCCAGCCATATATAATGTATACCGATTTAAATAATTTAGTCAAAAATTATGCCATTTCATTTAGAATTTTTTTTCTTTCTTCCCATTTTTTGTATTGCAGCAGATTCAGTAGCAATAACTAGTGAAATATGGGCAGATCTGTGGGGTTTATGCTACACAGATGCAGGGTAGGACTCACTAAATTCTGTCTGTACTAGCAGGATAGAAGCAACAGCACAGCCAGATGGTGACTACTGGTAATATAAAAGCAATGCATTTTTGCCCCAGAGTAAAAGATCTTATGGAGAAAGCAAAAGCTTCTTAGGCTGTCATTGCTTGGCCAGTTGATGTATATTACTCAAGACTAATTGAATAGCAGACCTTCATCAGAGTTGGAAAGCTTTAAAAAAAAAAAAGTCTTCCTATTGCAGTGAACTAAAGCTATTAGCCCCTAATTAACACATGGGGTTTCATCTTTACCTTTCTAGAGATCACAGAAATCTATGTATTTTTCAGGCTGCAAGCCAGAAATCAAACATTCATTACATAATTGCAGTAAGTCTGAGCTAATACTTCTCATTAAGTATGATTTATGAATTCCAAAAGAGCCTAAGAGATAAATACATAAAAATTATTCTGAAGTCTGCAAAAATGAAAGCATTCATTTCTTTGGATGATTGTGCAGCAAGAATGATTTAGGCAAACACGAACATTCGGTAAGGACATGGTATTTAAATATCTGTACTTTTGTGATGCTCTCAAAGTGGTGTGATTTCATCTAATTTTGCTGCTGCTCTTTCAGCAAAGATGATGTTCTACCCAGAGAATCAACCAGTGCAGGCAGAATCAGTCTCCCACGGATCAACATTCCCTTGGAGCTGCAGGAGATGGGCACCTGCCATGATGCAGTTTGTGAGCCAGTGGATAAACCTATTTTATTTTTAGAATTACAGGTAAGCACATTTTTCTGATATTTGTGTGTATTTCCTTCTTAAATTGTTCTCACTCAGCTAACTGTGCCTGTGTACAGTAACACTCCGAGGGAAAGATTTCTCGCATCTCTGATACTGATGGAAGTTTTCTGCATGAAGACAAGCACCTTTGAGTTTAGACTTCTGTTTCGAGCTCTAAGAATCTTTAGGCCAAAATTAGAGGGGATCTGATTTTTCTTCCTTGCCCTCCCAGGTTAATTTTAAGCCCACCAGTAACAGATTTTCCGAAGTAATAAACTGAAGACTTGCTCCCTACAGAGCGGTGAAGAAAAGATGCAACAGCTGAATGTGGTAGTTGGGCTTGGGACAGATGGCGTGCAAGAGCAAATGCTCCAGGTTAGTTCAGAAGGGAGGGGACTGGACAAAACTGTTCAGCAAATATTGTGTTAGAACTAAAGACTTGCTGAAGTATCCATAGGAATGCCAAAGTAGAGCATATTTTTTACCAAGCTGCAGTTTATTAATTGCTTGTGCAGGAGCAAAATCTGTAATAAAATACTAAAGAGGGAGATGGTAAAGCAGGGCCTTGAATCTGTTTTTGTTGGTTTCCATAAAAGGGGCTTGCTTGCTTTTTCCTGGCATTCTCTCCAAGAATTTATATAGAAAATATTTTTTCCATAACCGCAGTGAACAGCCTTCAATTGCCTGGCAGCCGTTTGCATATTTTAGGCTTCCTTCCCTCTCTGAAGTTTAACTCTGCAGGAGCTTGTGCTGCTGCCAACTTGGATCTTTCTTTTGGTCTTTTGTGTCCCTAGCCCAGGTTCTGTGGAACTTGGACTGTTGAAAGTGGCTGCAGCATGTCTCACCTGAGTAAAGGGCAAAGAAGAGCCTCAGTATTGTAGCACTAATGATTAGTAGCAATGAGGATAAAATGGAGTGTTCCTGTAGCTCTTTACATCTTCAGAGTGCTCCACTGATATTAGTTAATCTGCCAAAATAGCCTTGTGACAAAGCCTTGTGTTTGTATTATATGTGATTTAACTCTTCTATATTGTTCTGCAATAAAACAAAACTGGATGCTTCTTCAGATAAAAATCAGGAAATCAGTTAAGCAACCTCAACAATTAAGGTGAACTTCAAAGCCGTCTCGCTTCTTTTGGTTAGCTTTAGCACACCTTTGGGAACCTCAACTATTTGTGCAAAGCAGCATCGTGTCAAGCATTCAACAGAGTGGCCTCAATGTTATGCAATAGTTTGTTTCCATTTGCATACACCAATGTATATGGCTTCCGCCATTTCTTAATCCAACGCAGGGATGTTGTCCTCGTGCCACTGGAACCAAAGTTAAACCTGGGCACTGTGCTGGTCTTAATCAAAGAGCCCCGGTTTGTGTGCTGCTGGTGCCCTGCTGTCCTTATTATTGTATGTGTACCCTGCCACAGCAGAAAACAAAGTCATGCTGTGTGTAGGTGCAGTGCTGGCATGTCAAGGAAGAACACGTAAGCTCTGTTACAACTGCAGGATTTCAATGTCTCTGTGCAGTTAAGTCATCTGCTCCCAGTACTCCAGTGTCTGCTGTCTTCTGTCTGCATCTACTGCTAGCTTGAACTTGAGCGAGTCATCAGTAGAAAGGTGGATATTGCCTAGTATTGAAAAACACCCACAGAAGAAAGATCACCCTAAATATATAGTCCTAATGCTGAGCTCTGAAAGACCTATTTCCTCTCAGGAAAGGGTTTGAGGTCTCTGTGGACAGATTTCTGAAAATACAAGCTCAATGCTGTATTTTCAGCAGATCAGAAAACAAATAGAAGGGTTGGAATGGACCAAGAAGGAAACCAAGGACAAAGCAGTTAACATGCTATGTCACTGAATGGATCCAGTTTACAACCACATCTTGAGTCTGCTTGTCCCATTCTCATCAGTCCTTTTTGAGCCCAAGAGAGCAATTGTAGAGCTAGAAAAGATTCAGAGGATGATTTGGTATGGAGGTGCATCTGTATAAAAAGGGACTGATTACTTGAAAATAGTTGAACCTGGAAAAGATACCAATGCAGGGAACTTTAGTGAAGGCTATGAATGGCACACAGAAGAACAAAAGAGCAATAACATTGCATAAAAGTCAGGGTGTACCATTGAAACAATTGAGGTAAAAGGAAGTGCTTTTTCACAGTGTTAAAAGTGAATTGTGGAGCAAATTGGCACAGGATGTTCTGGATGCCAAAACAGAAATGTGTTCAAAAAGTGATTAGGCAGATTAATGGTAGAGAGGGCCAGCAAGGACTATTAAACACATTAGCCCAGAATCAGCCGCTGGTTTGCAAGAGACTGAAAGAGAGAAATATCAGTCTATGGATGCTTGTTACACTTTCCCTAGCAATTTTCAGGTAGGTGACTTGTGGCTCTGGTTTATTAAGGCTACTTATAAGTGTTATGCCAAACAGAGTCTAATACAATTCCCGTAGTGTTATGCCAACATATGTGCTACTGCAAATAAAACATGACATATGTGCTGCCAAAGCAATCACATTCTGAAAACAGTGCAGCACGCTTCACATGTGTGAATGGAATCTTTTTCCTTTAAGAGGGGAAGACCTGCCCACTTGCCTTTGTGCATGTTATCCCTTCTCAGGAGTGGAGCCTTCCTCCCTGAAAATTTCCAGTGTGTAAATAAGCACTTCAGCAAACCAGAGGAAAGCTTGACCTCTCGGTTGGTTGCAACCGGATATTTCATTTTCTCAAAATTACAATATCAACTTAAGAATTAATCCAAAATGTTTTTATTCTTTGCACCAATAAAAAAAATGCATCCGTGGCACAAGAATCTAAAAACAGACAATATTTATCAAGAAACAAAGCTCATTCATACTCGGGTTCAGTAGAAGTTACATTAAAATACTGTCATGCCATTGGTCTGTTCTGCAGAAGGGAAAGTGGTTCTACTAAGAGAGATTGCGTGAGCCCTACACAGATGGAACAGTCCTGCGCTTCTTTTTGAATGTTTAACTGCTGTCACAAGATTGAAGTTGATTTAAGTGCTGTCTTGTTATTCTTCTCGAAACTGTAGCAAACTGTCAGTTCGCAGATACAAATGCGTGAGGTTTGTTCAGTTCCAGCATTCTGCCAGATGCTAGCTTCCCAGAGCACAGTGTATTCTCCACATTCCAGCACACATTCCAGGGGTCGTAGCTGTGCAGAGTTTGGCTCCAGGAAAGTTCAGTCTCCAAAACACAAGAGAGAAATTCTGCTGGGGGAGTGGGAGGGAGAAAGTTCAAGTGCTGCTGGGCGGGAGGCAGAGCTTTACTGGAGGTGGATCAGTCTGGTCTGGTCGAAACAGCTGCTATGACCACATCTGGCTCTTGAACTGCCTTTGGAAGCCTGTCTTATGGGAGCTCTGTGGCTCATGCTCACTTTAATGACTATATTCTCTGCTTGCTTCCAAGACAGGTCTCCTCCCCATCTCCCACATAGAAGAGGAGCTGCAGTCCTCATGGGCTCCCTGCATGGTTCGTGAATTTCCCAGATGATTCTCCAGAGTGGTGAGGATGCTGAAACTGGGGAAGTTGTGTTGAGAATTAACCCTTTTTTACCAGGATCTGTTTCTAAATTGTAATGTGTAAAATAACAAGCATGTGTTTTAGAATTGCTGCTGTGATACAGTCGTGTGCTAGATTTTGGTTATTGCGTTCCCTGAGGAGAGAAAGAGAACGCCAGCTAAAATGTTGAATGCTTTGTTAGTGATTGCCAGCATGCTTGAAAAGCTGAAGCTCATGGAAGGAGTGGGTTTTCAGCAACAGGGCCACACTATGCAAGACTGCCCTGCTCTGATGGTTACACTAGCTGTTACAAATCCCGCTCTAATGAGGGTAACATGCCTACGGAATATAAATAGAATAAACCTGCTGTGGTCACATATTAGAAGCCTGTAACTCAGTGGCTCTGCCTTATAGTGAGTTATGTAAATGCCATTTTGGAAATCGTCGCCTCACTTCTGACTGCTCCGTGACAGGAAGCAAACTCCATGGGTGTGTTGGAGTCCTGCAGGCTTCCTGCTCCCATCTGGCTTCATGGACTGGGCTCTTGCTATAAGATTTTGCATCTCTCTTTGTACCTCCTGCTTTGTCTTTATTGCAAGGGAGCAATATGAAATATGATAAATATTTGCTCTCTACAAATGAGGGCAAGTAATAAGCAGATATAGAAGCTCTGTGATTCGGTGGGAGTATTTGTAACAAAGCTGGGGCTATGAAACTGGCACTTCTAGTGTCTGCTTTGAACCAATTTTATTCCACTGTGGAACAAAGAATTCATATTTTTCTGTTGAAAAGATGGCAATAGTAGGAAAATCCATGCTGTACATTTACTGATAGTGTTATTCTATCATAGCATTAACTGCTGTATTATAGCAGCAGAGGTACTTCTGAAGTTTTGAAACAGCAAAGTGTGACAGCCTCTATCTGTCACCCTTCACTAATCAACACTGTAGCTCTTTACCATCTGGGTTTCGGAGAATCTCTCATCATTAAGGCTCCATCCTTGCAAACAGATGGCCACATTGTGTGATGTCCCTGCTGAAGTGCCTGCTGGGATCTATACAGACCTGTTGGGACAGATGCGTGGGTTTGCTCAGCCTGCTGGCATGCACGTCTTGCACTTATATAGAAGGTGGTTCTAAGAGAAAGAACAAACATGGAGACTGCATGATACCTGTAGGCCAACCCCTTCCCTGGCCACATCACCAGTGCCACTGACACTGGCTGGGGTTGGGGATGAACAAGCAAAGACCTGCAGGCTGAGAAAGCCATCATCTGTGAAGTCTAGCTGGGCTGCTTGGTTTCTACAGGCTGGTCAGTAAACAAGATTGTTTGAGCACATTTTGAAGTGCTAGAAACTGGTTTATCTGAAACCTGCTGCTGAGTAAACATTCTTCAAGACAGAAACTCTGATGAAAACAAAATAGTGGCTTGGGTGCAGCGAGCTGGGCACTGGTTGTTCTGGTGTGTGTTTCTGTGTTGCCAGCTTGCACTGCAGTATCCAAGCCATTCAGGTGGTCTGGACAGTCGCTGGGTGCTGCTGTCAGTGGTGCTCAGGCAGCTGGGGCAGCGTGTCACATATGGCCTGTTACTGCTGGGCCTGGCAGTAAGCAGGCTCTGGCAGCTCGCACTCAACCCAGCTGATCTCAGCCAGGCTGCAGCGCTCCGTGTGCCTGAGGGCAGGCTGTGGGGATGTGCCATGAAGATGGTCCCTCTGTGGGCTTTCATGGGAGAAGGAACAGATCTGCTGAAAGGCTGTGGTGCCACTCTTATTTTCCATCTGGTATCTCTGGAGGAGCCTTCATGTATGAAACAACTAAGGCATCTGCTTTTACCTTATATGCTGCATCTATGATAAAAGCCACGTGTGACCTTTTCTTCTTCTGTTAGAGGAAGAGGCCCATCTGGCCTTGAGTTAATGCTTTTCCTTTCTCAAATCCTGTTTTTCTAAGTGTCTCACCAAAACACTCAGATTGTCTTTAGGACAAATATCTAGAGACCAAGTCGGCTCTGATGAAATAGGTACCAAAGCTTCCCTCAATGCCCAGCGTCCACACACAGCTGGCACCAGCAGCACTGTGCCCATTGCCCAGCCCAGCCCTGGGCTGCACAGAAGTGTTGTGAGAGCTCTGGCTGATGGAACAGCGACAGAGAGATTGTGTAACATGCCCTGGGCTGTGAGAGTCGGAGAGGTTAACTGAGAACCTGCTTATGGTTTATGGTCACTGCCAGGTCTTGCTGGAAAGGAAGCCCAGCACCGCCTTCAAAGGGAGCTGCTCAGTGCTACTGCGTGTTTGGTAACCATTTCCCTGCATGCCTCTCCTTCAGCTGAAGCCTCAAGAACACAGCACTGAGTGCTGCTCTGAGGTTTTATGAGCAAGTGCAGAGGCAGTAAAGGCTCTTTCTCGTACAGTGTGCTGCACCATGATTTGTGTGTGTGATGTATGGTATAGAGCAGCCCTGGCTGTTTGCTGCACCCCTGGTGAAGAGCGTTTCTGGGAGAGCCCCTCCAGTATTTCTATCTGGGGTGGCTGGGCAAGAGTTTCTTGAAGTTACTTTCTGTTACTGTGTCCACAGTGGAAATAACAGTAAGCATAGAGTGGCTTGGAGAGTCTTGGAGCAGAAGCAGCCAGAAGTAGGAGCCTCTGTTTTTAGTTTGAGATGTGTCTCTTTAAAGCTCTGCTGTGGTTGGGTCCATCTGTGCTTGTCATTCCTTTGTTAACCAAAAATCCCAAGCTGAGGAAAAACTGCTTTGCAGTTGTAGTGAGATGGAAGAGGCCCTGGGCTGTGGCAGAGCCAGAACTTCTGCCTGGGATAAAAACTATTTGAGTAACTTGGAACTGTGGAGCTGGCTCACTTCACTGCCTTCAGATGGCTGGACGTTGTGCTGAGTCAGCAGTGTGCTCCAGAGCTTGTGGTGTTCCTTGGCTGTGCCTCAGGCAGGAACACGCCTCTCCACCGAAACCCTTCCATCCTTTCTTTTCAGTTTACTCACAGATCACATTTCCCTGCTTTTATTCTGCTTTTGTGACTGGCTGCTGTGGCAGTGTCTCTTCTTCCTTCCCAGGGATTGTGAAGGGCTAATGTGGATTTCATCACAGCAACGCCTTTATCTCTGTTTGCCTGTCACTGATGGAGAAACCCCAGCGGCTTCAGTAGGTCTGGTAACATTCCAGTTTTGTTTCTCTTGTTCTCTTGCAGCTTTGGGGACTGTCTTCTGACTCGTGTGCCCAGCTGCAAAGCAGAGATTTTGCTGAGTGCCAAAAATCTCTTGCTTTTCTCTTACAGTGACTGGGTTCCAGATTCTGCTCAAAGGAACAGAAAGACCCAATTTCAGCCAGTTGGATTTCCTGAACCAGCCACCCCTGCTGGAATGGTCACACAGTGCTGCTGTGTTTGGGTCTCAACATCTTCAGGCAGGAACCTGTGCAAGGAAACCTTTCTGGCAACTAATCCCCACACATTGTGTTTGGGAGTCCTTTAGGGAGTGGCTGTGACTCCACAAACTCTCCTGCCTGCATGTTTTTTCCAAGTGAGCATTCAGACTGCTGCTCTTTCTGCTGTTTTTTTCAGAGTTTAATGAGTCCTTGGCAGCAGAAGTACTGAGCAAAAAAAAAAAAAAAAAAAAAAAAAAAAAGGAAGTGCCCCATTAATGCACTGGAGATAGAATCAGGCTGGAAAACTCCAAGATTGACTGTAATAGCACTGACCATAATGTAAAACCCCTATGCTGAGGAGGCCAGATACCTCTCTGTATCTAAGGTCTTTCAGGAGAAGCGTGTTCTCCAACCTGTGGCAGCCCCAGACTTTCCAGGTCTCCCTGCCCATCAGCACCAGCACAGCCAGCATTTGCAGGAGCAGCTGCTGAGAAATGCCCTCAAGCTCTGTCTGCATGGCTGCAGCACTGAGAGCAGCACTGACTGTCTTGCAAGAATGGAAAACTGAGAAAGAATATGAAGGTACAGGAAGTCAGTGTGTCCGTCTGCAGTTTATGGAAGTGCAAGTGCCAGTGTGCACCTCGGGCCTAAAGCAGCAATCAGACTGATACTTAAAGTAGTGGTGCGTGTCTTGCCAGTTGTCCTTAGTCTCACGGGTGTCACAGCTTTTCTGTGCTTGACTGTTTATCCATACAGAAGAAGTGGTGAGGCATTGGAGCAGGGTGCCTGGGGAGGTGGTGGAGTCACTGTTCCCAGAGGTGTTTAAGGAGAGGGTACAGGTGATACTCAGGGACACAGAGAGTGGGCAATTCTGGTGGCAGGTGGACTGTTGGACTAGATGATCTTAGACGTCTTTTCCCACCTAAATGACTCTGTGATGATTAGAGGTGTGACTGTCCTCCATTAGTGGATAAAAACAGTTCACAGATCTCTTGGGAACTGATAATAATAAGACCCTTGGATATAGAAGAAAAACTGATCTCTAAGAGGACTGAGGAATAGGTTTAAAACTGGAATATATTTCTGAAGCCAATTACTGGGAAGAAACTGAGAGTTTTGCCTATGGAGTACAGAATTGGAACTTAAGTTATGCACACTGATTCAACAACTGTGCTATTTTTGGCTTGTGAACTGTTCTGATGGCTGTTTATTTTTAAGGTCATTTTCTGTTTGCACAGCATATACACCCTTCTGGTGGGTGGGAGGCATTATAAAAACAATCACTGCTGCTCAGAATTATGAACTAAACTCGAAGAGGGATGGAAAAGAAACAGAACTTGGTGTACTTACTACTTTAAAAAACATCTGTTTAGGTCAGAAGGCTTTGTTGACCCATTCCAAGCTGTGGCCCCACTGGAAAAATCCCATCCCAATTAACATAGATTACCACAGGGGATTGCAAAAGACGTGGGAAAACTCGGACAGGGTATAAACAGAAAGGAAGCATCAGGTTTGGCAGTTTCTTCCAAAATACTCACCTTCTGGTAGCAAATACAAGAGTAGAATGTTCATCTCATGGCTGAAGAGTTGCTAAGA